TCCTGGTAGTCCGGGTTGACCTGGTTGCCCAGGGAGTACGGGTTGACCTGGTTGTCCTGGTTGCCCAGGTAGTGCGGGTTGACCTGGTTGTCCTGGTTGCCCTGGCAGACCGGGTTGACCAGGTTGTCCTGGCAATCCGGGTTGTGCAGGCTGTCCTGGTTGTCCTGGCAGTAAGGGTTGACCTGGTTGCCCAGGCAGTCCGGGTTGGCCTGGTTGTCCTGGTTGCCCTGGCAGTCCGGGTTGACCCGGTTGTCCTGGTTGGCCTGGCAGTCCGGGTTGCCCAGGCTGTCCTGGTTGTCCTGGCAGTACGGGTTGACCTGGTTGCCCTGGCAGTCCGGGTTGACCTGGTTGTCCTGGTTGCCCTGGCAGTCCGGGTTGACCTGGTTGTCCTGGTTTCCCTGGCAATCCGGATTGACCAGGTTGTCCTGGCAGTCCCGGTTGACCAGGCTGTCCTGGAATTCCCGGTTTAACAGGCTGTCCTGGTTGTCCTGGCAGTCCTGGCTGGCCAGGTTGACCTGGTTGTCCTGGCAGTCCCGGTTGACCAGGCTGTCCTGGTTGTCCTGGCAGTCCGGGCTGACCAGGCTGTCCTGGCAATCCGGGTTGACCTGGTTGTCCTGGTAGTCCGGGTTGACCAGGCTGTCCTGCTTGACCTGGCAGACCCGGTTGACCAGGTTTTCCTGGTTGTCCTGGCAGTCCTGGTTGACCAGGTTGACCTGGTTGTCCTGGTAGTCCCGGTTGACCAGGTTGTCCTTGTTGTCCTGGCAGTCCCGGTTGACCAGGGTAACCTTTGGAAAGACACGTCAGTTTTCAGAATATTGTAAATAGAATATTGGATGATCTGTCGTTCCTTGAAACAGGAGAACTGGCATATTTGTTTTCATTTATCGCCCTATTTCGTTACATCTCGTAGTGCAGGCATGTCCAACCCGTCGATGGCGGGACGATTTTTGGTCGTTCTCATAGGTTTATAAGAAAATTATACGTGAAAGGCATGCAAATTCACTTGTTGTATAATATGTATGACTATATCCAGATTTTGAAGGGAAAATACGTACTATTTTATAATTTTACCCAATTAATTTCACTGCTGGAATATATTCATAACATTTAGTGGCTTCACGGTTGTGTTCTTCCAGTAAAAGTAGCCTATATTAATTTTGAATCATTCACCATTCAGAGGTTCCTAAATGCGTTATTTGAAGTTACTGGTACATGTCTTCTTTAATTTATACTGAACAGTCCTGTTTATAACTGCCAGGCTTCTTAACTATTTACAATGTCCTTCATACACTGTATATATGTATATATATACAGTGTATGTAATTTCGTAAGCTCATAAGTACTGGAGAAGTAAAATTCGTTTTAATGAGCTGCAGACATTTAATTTTCTTTTGGGACCTATACCATTGTAAGCATAGAAACAAACTCCGTGGCTTATGGTCCACAAGCGAACTATACCGACCGAGTAACCACCGCTTGTCGGCGAAATTATTGCCAATTTTAGCGGATAGAGGGTATCGCGTGGTCAGCGCAACGGATCCCCAATGCCGTTAATCTCGGTTGTCTAGACTGGAGGTAAGCATTGACCAGTCCTGAAATAAAGGCGTCAAGCTCGGACGTGTAGGAGAGCTCAACACTGGAAAAGTGAAAGAGAGAAATGATTACTTTCGAATCTGAGAATTAAGATAGACTTAAAATTGTTTTGATTAAATTTTAGACCATCTGTCGTCTCCACTTTATACAAATGAATAATATTTTAATTAACATTCTGGATTAACCACGCAATATTATAAATTTACTCTCCGTGTTTCACGAAGGAGGAGAGTTATAAATGGAATATGAACATTAAGCCACGCTTTATAATTTCCAATACCTCCACAGGAGGTCTCCTCTGTGCCGAGACCGAAACAAAATGCAGGGTACAAAATTTCCATTATATTTAATTAACAAGCATTCAGTATTATCAGGAATTTTTACACATGCCTGGTTATGACGTACCTTGACTTTGGCTTCTTATTATTCTTTTCCATTCATGTGAAACATAAGGCTTATTTCCCAATGCAGCAGCTCGGATTCGATCCCAGATCATGCGGAGGTTTGTTGTGGACAAAGTGACATTGGGTTTGGCTTTCTCCGAGTATTTCGGTTTCCTTTGCTAATTCTAATCTCATCAACCTTATACCACTTCGCTGACAGCAACAGATGCATCCGGCGGTGTTGCGAGTCAGCAAAAAATCACGCATGCGCATGAAAGTCCCTTCTACCGTTACGCTCAGTTTCCCCACCCCTTTGGCCATTACTTACAGGGGCAAAAAAGAAAGTCAGATACTTTTTTGGACAACGGTGTATTCTTTAATTATCCTATCCCCGACGCCATATAATGTCGTCGCTGACCGCGTCGTTACGTAGCAAACAAACAAAATTAGTTTTTTTTATGGTGAAACGAACGAATTTATATCCATCATAAGTAGGAGTTAGGTGAATATAGAATTTAAATCTTAAAAAAATGGCGGCCCTTCCGGAGGTCTCCGAAACATAAAAAAAGCTAATTTTCTCGAAAAAACCTCTAACGATTGTAGTTACATTTCCGTAATTTATACAGAATATCTCTGTAAATTAAACTGAATAAAAGACACCGTCAGGGGAAGAAAGATACCTGCACTAGGGGCCCAAATTCGAAATACAAAATTTATCGAAAATACTTGGTCGATATTGAATAGATTTTGATCACCTGTACAGGCGACGGATACAGACATGTAAGGGTGGTTATTATACAGTAGTTTAAAGTTATAAATAATTCTATGAAATGTTCATTTCACGATGCTGGAAGCATTTGAAGTTAACATGAAGACTGACGCAACTCGTACATGTCATGTCTTGTATAATAAAAGCAACAATGATCTGCTGAACAACAATCGATTAAAGTTGTAGTATTTAGAGGTGACAGTCCTCCGACGCGGAGTAGGAGAAGTATTGGTAGTGGCGGGGAGAGCTGCAGCATGCCGACAAGTGTGGAGGGGAATGCAGTACAGGCGTTCTCAAAAGGAAATAACTTAAATAATACCTCATTGTGTTGCATAGTGTTGGTGGTTAAGTCTCGATATGTTCACACATCCGATAGTAAGTTTTACGTGCCGAGTGGCAGAGTATTATACACTATACACTATTATATACATGAAGAATTTATTTACATATTACACGGGTCTGTTCTAATGGAGCAACACCGGAAATGTCCGCTTAGATATCATCTCCACATGCCTGTCCTTCCTCGTCACCGCCAGATGAATCGGAGCTATCATCAGAACTGTATCGCTGTCACCACCAACATGGAAGACGAACTCCTGTCCTGTGTCCAAAAGGCCTTCCCGTGCCATTAATTGTTGCTCAATGTTCCTTACATTTTGGCACCTACGTTGTCATTGTTCTGCAGTTATGGAAGGCAATTTTTGGTCGGCCAATTTAATGACGTCATCCATCTTAAATGTGGTATTGTTTTGAGCAACCCAATTTTTTACGGTGGCCCATATTAACTCAGTTGGGTTGAGTTCTGGATGATACGGAGGGAGTCGTAAAATATTGTGATTGTGTTCTGCACAGATTCCATCTATTTTATAGGAAAGGTATTTCGGTTTGAGTGGTAGGATCATATTACGAGCTATGTCTGGATTCCGCAATGCTGAAAAATCAGTTTCATTGAAGATAATAGGTGGAAGGTGATATTTTAGTCAGGATATCAGAGAATCTCTTCTTGAATTTGGGTTAGGGGCTCTGTTTATTTGTACATTATGGTAAGGAGCATTATCAATGACATGGACAGAATTTGGGGGAAGGTTAGGAATAAGTCGGTCCTTTAACCATTTTTCATAATTGGTGTAGTTCATGTCACTGTGGTAGTCTCCTGTTTTTTGGTGGATTTGAAGCGGACATAGACATTAGGGATGAAACCTTGTTCTCCGCCTGCATGGATAACAATGAGCCATTGACCTTTGGACACAGGGGAAAATAATCCCTGGATGGATCCATCACTCCTTGCATATTGGATGGTGTGCCATGACTGAATATAGGTTTCATCCATGTAGCTGACTGGGCGGCCCTCTTCCTGCCGCAAATACTGAAGACGTTTGGCTCTGATATTATATCGTTCCACCGGTATCTGCCGATTATTTTTTGTTTTCTTCCAGCGGAACCCCAGTTTCAAAATAATGTTCTTTAATGTGGAGATGCAGCCCTGAAAATCTAACGTTTTCTTCAACTTTTCGTGAACTTTCTTCAGGGTAGGTCTCCGTTTTCCAACTATGTAGAAGTCATTAATTGTTTTTCGCACCACAGACTCGTTAAATTTGTCCAAAGTGGCTAGTGGAGATTTCATACGTATTTCTTTATGGGTTGTCGAAAAGGAAATGGAAACCCCAGATTTTATATCTTTTGTTTCTCTTATTCTTCTTCTGACACTACTTTCCGATACACCTGTTGCCTTTGCTACTTCCACACCTCTGTTCTTCACTGTAATTGTTGGCCCAGCCTCTTTCATATACTTATAGTATACATTACTAACAAATTCTCTTGATTGTGAGTGCAACACTTTTCCACTCAATTTACTTCGTGTAGGTGGCATGTTAAAGAGATAGAAAAAATGTGCAAATATAAATAAACAAAAAAGAAAGTCAACGAATAAGAATAAACAATGAAATAAAATATTAATAAATTAAATAGAGAATAATACACTCAAATACGACTCCAAGAGTAAAAACTGTTTAACTTGACTGTACAAGGAAGAATGCTTTTGACTGAACTCGAGACATCTGCTCGCATTGAATACAGACGAATGACTAATCACAACACCCCTCAACTTTCACGAATGGACCTGCCCATCCACTGCGCAGCTTTTCCTGGGCTGTCACTTCTAAATACTACAACTTTACTTTTCAAGGTAAAGTAGTCTATGTCAGTCATGTATGATAAATTATATCGGATATTTTCGCTCAATTTTTAATTTATAAAGATTTGTGAGTGCAGTCATTTCTTGCCTCTTCAATACATACACATTTCTGTATATATAGAACTGTTTTCTTCATTGACAGAAGAATTGGTAATATATATTCTGTGATATTTGGCAAAATTGTCGAGAGTTTGTGATGTGTAATTCTTACAAAACTTCCTACATTACTGTGTCTCAAGGTAACAATTCAGTAGTAGCAGCAGCATACATAACAAGAATTTCAGATCATACCTGGCTGTCCTGTTTGGCCTGGATATCCTGGTTGTCCCGGCTGTCCTGGCTGTCCAGTTTGGCCTGGATATCCTGGTTGACCTGGCTGTCCAATTTGGCCTGGATATCCTGGCTGTCCTGGCTGTCCAGGTTGACCTGGATATCCTGGTTGTCCAGGTTGACCCGGATATAGTGGTTGACCTGGCTGTCCTGGCTGTCCAGTTTGGCCTGGATATCCTGGTTGACCAGGTTGGCCTGGATATCCTGGTTGACCCGGCTGTCCTGGTTGCCCAGGTTTGCCCGGTTGTCCTGGCTGCCCTGGGTATCCTGCTTCTCCGGGTTTACCTGTGCTTCCAGGCAGCCCTGGCTGACCGGGTTGCCCTGGGTATCCCGAACTTCCTGGATATCCAGGGTATCCAGACCCACCCGGTTGCACTGGCTGTCCTGCGTTGAATGAAATTCAGTCATGGTTTTAGTACAAGAAAAATGTATTATCTTCTAGAAAAAGTCGAAACCCCAAAGCTCTAAATGCCATAAAGAAAAAAAGTTGATATTAACTCATATATAGTTTTTATCTATATCCTGAGAAATTGAACTGTGTAGTCTGGTAGAATTTTACCGAACTCTGCATGCTTACTTCTCAACCCTGAAAATGGAGGCGGTTTTCCACTTTGAAACTTTCTACCGATATATACAGGGTCAATTTCCAGATGATTATACTTCTTATAGTCGCTATGAGACCCTCAAATTCCGACTTCAATAGTCGCAGTAAAAATATTTTTATGATTATGATCTGTCTTTACAGTAAAAGTAAGTTTCATATGGTTTGCATGTTTTTATCAGTTATTGTGTCAAACAGAAACCTCAGAGAAGCTTACAGAAATCTCACGAGAAGTACAGAAATTAATGGGATCTTCAAATGGTGGCCTGATATGTGAAGAGGTTTCTCAGAAATGGAAAAAAATGAACGTAAGGAGAAAGGAAGGACGGTAATGAAAAGACAATGTGGAGCAGACTACGGGAATAGGATACAGCTGAGGATAAATAACAACGAAATACAGAATTCATGAAAACTGAGTTGCCTGGAAAATCGAACTAGGGCTGGAAGAAAATCCTTATATATTTTTGAAGAAGGAAAATTTGTCCCTGTGCGCAACTAATTAAGCACTACGCGTATGGGGAAACGGATGTATATATCCACACATTCTTTACCTAGGCACTAGTTGGAGGTGAGTGTCCAACTTCAAACCCTGACCACTTTATCCATGGGTACCCATTGGATTAGAAGCTGGGTGGGCACCAAAACTGCTCTGATGAGGAAAAGAGAAAATTCCTGTACTTATTTCGACTCGAACTCCGATTGTTCGGTCATCCAGCCCATATCCATTCGCTGTATTGACTGCGCTATCCCTGCTGCATTATTTTCAAGAAAATTAGGTTTTATATTAATCAGACTTTGTCACGTGACGATCCTGTCACGAAGCATCGAACACGCACTCAAGAGTATTAACCTGGGGACATAACCGAGTCAACCTGTCACTGGAGCACACAAATAAAGAGACGAGGTCGCCCAGGTGGGGGGGGGTTGCACGCAAGACTGACGACCTTGATCTATAAAAATATTGTTCCCAAGTCCGAAGAAGTGCAAACAGGATACTATCTAGAAGAATGTTCTAGGGAAGGCTGTGGTTCGCAAAGAGCTGTGCTGAAGGAATTGATGATTAGTCATAAAGTAAGTAAGTAAAGGTATTCCTGTAACAGGCTGTGGAGACCAATAGGGTTGTGAGACTTTGGGGTTCCCACATTTCCTAGACAATCGGCTCATAGATGGAGGCAAGGTTGTCAGCCTTACCCGCCGGCCGCTGTTTACCCCCCCAAGAACATTCCAAGAATATTCCTGGTACTCTTTTCTGTTAGAGGCAGAGTCAACCTCAAGTTTATTGATCGGCTGGAAGTAATAGGTAAACGGAAAAAATCCAATGACCTCATCGGGATTTGATCCCGCGACCTTCCGACTTGTAGCATAGTGCCTCAACAAACTACGCTACCGCGTCCCCCCCTCGCTAGGCAATGCCGTCTGTAACTCTTGTACCAGAAATAAAAGAAGATGAAGTTGTCTCTGTGCTTAAGTAGTTGAGCACTGCGCTATGAGAGTGGAGTTATAGCTCCACCTTTCTTGACCTCGGCACTAGATGAAAGTGAGTTGTCAGATTCACGCCTCTGTCGCTTTACCTCCGGGGAAAGAACCAATTGTACCTATTGGATAGGAAGTGAGGCGGTCCGCAGAGCCGGTCTGGAAGCTGTGGAGAAGTGGAAACATTTACACTGTCAGGAATAGAACCTGGGCCGTCCAGGCCTTTCCGTCGCTACACCGACTGAGATATCATAGCTCTATTATGTGGGGAATATAATTTAAAGCTTGATATAAAATAGTTTACCTGGATACCCTGGCGAGCCTGGTGATCCTGGAGTTCCTGGTGATCCAGGTGTTCCTGGAGTGCCTGCTGTTCCTGGTGTACCTGAGGATCATGGAAAATTTATAATGTTCAGTATTAGATTTTTATGGAATAGATTTCTTTCAGGAGCTTAGGGAATTTCCTTCTTGCCATGGCAAACAGTTTATTGACGCATAAAACCTGTCCAAAGTACTTGTAGTGGATTGCCTCTCATGTATTCGATCCATTGTCTTTCGAACCCAAGTTTGTTACTATTTAAGTATGATGTGCAAATCCTCCTTAATAATTTCTTTTGCTGTTTCTTAATTTAATTAAATATATCATAGAATATAGTAAAGAGAGACTACCTGGACTTCCTGGAGTAACAGGGTATCCTCCTGGATATCCGCTTGGGTATTCAGGACCTCCTGGTCCCCCGGGACCTCCCGGACCACCCGGGCCTCCTGGAGAACCTGGTCTAATTGGTTGTTCTCCTGGACCTGTTGGCCGTCCCGGTAGCCCTACTGGATATCCTCCTGGGTATACAGGGCCTCCTGGTCCCCCGGGACCTCCTGGACCTCCTGGGCTTCCCGGAGAACCTGGTGTGCCTGGTGAACCTGGTATTCCTGGTCTAATTGGTTGTCCTCCTGAACCTGTTGGTAGTCCCGGTTGCCCTACTGGATATCCTCCTGGGTATACAGGGCCTCCTGGTCCCCCGGGACCTCCTGGACCTCCTGGGCTTCCCGGAGAACCTGGTGTGCCTGGTGAACCTGGTATTCCTGGTCTAATTGGTTGTCCTCCTGGAGCTGTTGGCCGTCCCGGTTGCCCTACTGGATATCCTCCTGGATATGAAGGGCCTCCTGGTCCCCCAGGACCACCCGGACCACCTGGACCTCCCGGACCACCTGGACCTCCCGGAGAACCTGGTGTTCCTGGTAATCCTGGTCTAATTGGTTGCCCTCCTGGACCTGTTGGGAGTCCTGGTTGACCTACTGGGTATGCAGGGCCTCCTGGTCCCCCGGGACTTCCCGGGCCTCCTGGGCCTCCCGGAGAACCTGGTGTGCCTGGTGAACCTGGTATTCCTGGTCTAATTGGTTGTCCTCCTGCACCTGTTGGCCTTCCCGGTTGCCCTACTGGGTATGCTCCTGGGTATGCAGGGCCTCCTGGTCCTCCGGGACCTCCCGGGCCTCCTGGGCCTCCAGGAGAACCTGGTGTGCCTGGTGAACCTGGTATTCCTGGTCTAATTGGTTGTCCTCCTGCACCTGTTGGCCTTCCCGGTTGCCCTACTGGGTATCCTCCTGGGTAAGCAGGGCCTCCTGGTCCTCCGGGGCCTCCTGGACCACCTGGGCCTCCCGGAGAACCTGGTGTACCTGGTGTTCCTGGAGTGCCTGGAGTTCCTGAATGATGGAAAATAATATTGTATAATTAATACTAGGTTACGCATTTCAGTAGCGCTGGATAATAATTATATTTCTTCTGTAATGCAGATACAAGTATATTGTTTGCAATTTATGTGTAATATAATCCCCTCTGCTGTGATATAAATGTGAATCATAGATCACGTGAGTCATGTCCTCTTAAATCAACTTCTCTGAATCGTTCAGGGAGACATTGAATAGATGACAGAAGGGACCGACGCCTGTCCTGCTTAGCATCTTTAATAATTTCTCGGAACTGCAGGATTTCAGAACCCAAACGTCAGGTATTTTACAGGAATAAGAACTTTAACTGGCATTTAAAATTTAGTAATAAAATTACTGTAGTCGTCCTTGAAAAGGTGACAGTCCCTTAGGCATTCAAGAAATGCCCCCTCTGATATGTGATTTCTAAAAAGCCATTGTGTCTCTAAAATGTTCGTTTTGTTTAGCCATGGAGCTGATCTTGGTAGCAGGTTAAGTCTGGCATGTATAGGTAGGTGAAAGCAACACCACCTTGACGCAGCAGCAGTGGAAACACCTGTCACTGCAAGACCGTCGTTATCATTACAAATGAGTCTGCATCTGCGACGATCAATGCTTACAAATTTAATGCGTGGATTCTAGATGATAAAACGATCTTACCTGGTCTTCCTGGTAATCCCGGTCCTGTAGGATATCCGCCACTGCCTGGATAATTTCCGCTCCCTGGTGTTCCTGGATATCCACCTGATCCTGGCTGTCCGCCTGATCCTGGTTGTCCCCCTGCTCCTGGATATCCCCCTGATCCTGGCTGTCCGCCTGATCCAGGCTGTCCCCCTGCTCCTGGCTGTCCTCCTGATCCTGGCTGTCCGCCTGATCCTGGCTGTCCTCCTGATCCTGGTTGTCCCCCTGCTCCTGGATATCCTCCTGATCCTGGCTGTCCACCTGATCCTGGCTGTCCTCCTAATCCTGGTTGTCCCCCTGCTCCTGGATATCCTGATCCTGGCTGTCCCCCTGATCCTGGATATCCTCCAGATCCTGGCTGTCCCCCTACTCCTGGATATCCTCCAGGTCCTGGCTGTCCTCCTGATCCTGGATATCCTCCAGATCCTGGCTGTCCTCCTGATCCTGGCTGTCCCCCTACTCCTGGATATCCTCCAGGTCCTGGCTGTCCTCCTGATCCTGGATATCCTCCAGATCCTGGCTGTCCTCCTGATCCTGGCTGTCCCCCTACTCCTGGATATCCTCCAGGTCCTGGCTGTCCTCCTGATCCTGGATATCCTCCAGATCCTGGCTGTCCTCCTGATCCTGGCTGTCCACCTACTCCTGGATGTGCTCCAGAGCCAGGGTAACCTGGAGTACCTGGTGTTCCAGGAGTTCCTGGTGATCCCGGAGAACCTGCTCGACCAGGATATACTAAATTACACACAATTACTTTTATTAATAAGAATGTTGTGTGGAACTCGGGGTTCTCACACTGGTAGTTATAATGTCGTGTAATCTGTTGGAAGTTAACAGATGTTTCGGAGGAACATAAAGTCTCAGTTTTCAGGGTATAAAAATAAGCCGGGCAGAAACTAGCTTGAAGCAGATAGAAAGCAGGCGATATTTCCTAGAAGGCAGAATTCTCAATAAGAATACTACTGTTAGTAGGGCGGGTTCTGTGCTTTGTCCGTTTTATGTTTTGTAATGAATTCTACCGAAACATATCATTTACAAAAAACATATTCCTGCAGTTTTGACATATATATACAACCGCATCTACCGCTATGTCTCCCATATTGAAACTCTGAGACATATACGGTACAGTGTTTATACTTCCTCGAGCCTACAGTCGAAATAAACATTTCTGTACAAAAATGGGTCTGTAAGCGTGAGGTCTATTTTTACCGTCACGCACTTTAGGATTGCAATAGCAACGGACTGTCCATAGTTAATATGTTGCATGAATGTAAAGTATATATTAGTTTTCGAACGCATGAAAATTTTGTCTCATTTTATCATGTCTATTCTGTGAGTACTGATATTAGTTTGATGTGGATATGAGAGCTGTAAATACTATGCCAAGGAGATGGTGTACGATTGACTGTTTCTGTGTGTTATTCGTGGGAGATGGCGTGAATCGTCAACTTGGCCGTGCCAATCGATGGCATGTAAGAATGGAAAAGAATAGCAGAGAAAATTTCGGAAATTAAGGGTACGAAAACCTAAGAATCAAACAATGAGATTTCTAGTTGAATTCTCAAAAGATGTTAAGACTCCTAAGTAAATAAAAATTATTATATGTACATTGTATATTATACCCAAATGTCAGTACCTTAAATATGTGCGCAAGACACCAAAGAAAGGATTTTTCGATCAGTCTGTATGTACGACAGTAGAATCACATTGTTTACAAAAGGATTATGGTTAAAACATTATTCGTCCCAACACAACGAAACCGGGTGAAGATTGCAGTTATAGCATACATCCGGATTTCACACGCTTGCAACAACAGTCGGTGGTGAGGAGGTACTGGGTGAACTATACTTGAGACTTATGCAACCAAATATGCTCGCATGTACGTTGGGCCGCATCCATCCAAGGGGAGTCCACGCTGATGATGAGCTCCAAATGATACTGATACTGGGAGTCGCATTTGTTAAGGAATTAATTAAATTAACTTGTAGTGAAGCGAAAGCATGTTTCATTAACTGTGTGCTTCTAACAGGAAGGAAAGGTATAAAATGAATGTCCCTGTTCGTAATTAAGTAAGCTCTACGCCATGAAGGCGTATTGAGGAGTGAATGTATAGATCCATATGTACCCGATCTCGGAACTAGTTAGCGGTGAGTAATGAGCTTCACGTCCCGGACAGCTTTATCTCCGGTAACCATTGCGTAAGAGACTGGGTGGGCCCCAAAACCGGTCTTCACGACGTGAAGAGAAAAATCTTGCCCCTTCTGGGGCTCGGCCGATCAGTCTGTATCCAGTCTCAATACCGAGTGAGCTATCCCAGCTCCCTAATATGAAATATAGAAATCATATTTCTAACACTTCTAATTTGTTGTATTTTTAACGAAGTTTTTCAAAAGCTCAGCTTAGCTTCTTGAGTGTAAGGGAATGGAGAATTAGCAAAAAATCAATTGGTAAGAAAGTGTAAAATATCGAACCTGGTCTAATTTTAAACGTTATGTTGTAATTTCTTTGACGGACTGATGAAAATAACGACATATGTCAGTCATGATAATCGGTTTTCGGGCGAATATCTGAACACGGAACCCCAAGGTCACACGAAGCAGGACCACGACGCCTGTTGCTAGTCAGCATTATCACGTGTCTCTATTGATCCCTGGGTGCGTGACTTTTGCAAGAATTGCAATATTGCTGTCGCTCCAGTCTGAATGTGTAGCAGTAAGATGACAAGTGTCAGCCTAGTAGTGTGACTAAGCTGAAACAGGATTATATTTCGTGAGAGAAATTTGTCAAGAAATGAATAGCACAATCCCCTTGGTTGTAACGCCATGTAGTTCTGGGAAAGGCAATTAACGCCTATGTTCAGGTTAGAAGAAGCGAAGCAAGAAAACAAGAGACACACGAGACAAGCTGAACGTGTGTGGCTTGATTTCCACCCTGAATTTTGAGGTGACATGTTCCACCGAACTATGGTGCCTTATATTCCAGATGATCCTACACGTCACAGCTCCGCCTTGAGATCCACATATCTATCTATGTATTAACTTATGACATTCGCACTGAGACATTTGAATGCAAGTAAAATGTCTGTATGTTCTTTGTTTACCTGGTGTTCCGGGTGATCCCGGGTAACCACCAATAACGCCGCCAGGTCCACTGGCCGCACCTATTCCTGGTCCTGGGCCGCCACAGCCCTTAGGGAAGTACAGGTCCTTCCATGCGGTCACGACGCCGTGATGCTGGTGATGATGTGAAGCGTCCCTGAATAAAACCGTCAGGAACTTTTAGCCTCTTTTTTGAGTGTAGAGAAATCGACTCGATAGAGGCTTTGAACCTTACTGCTAAACAGTGAATATGGTTATCAATTAACTAACTGTTAAGGTCGCGCCATAGCTCAAGCAGTTAGTCGCTGGCTTCCCACCGCGGCGGACCGGGTTCGATCCCGAGTCTGGTCAAGTGGGATTTGTGGTGGACAAAGTGGCGCTGAGGCGAGTTTTCTCCGAGTACTTCGGTTTTCCCTGCCAATCTTCATTCATGCATTTTCCTAATCCTTCCAGCCGCACTATGGCCCTGGGGTCGACTCAGTCTCTAATGGATATGAGTACCAGGAATATTCCTCGGGGTAAAGGGCTGCCTGCTCGTAAGGCTGACAACCTAAAAGCCATCTGTGAGCCGATTGATTAGAAGATGTGGAAGCCTCGACGTCTCACAATCCTACGGGCTTCCACGGCCTTATACGTGGATAGCTTTGCCTCCATTCTTATTATTTCAAACAGCCCCACATGTCTGGATATTAGGATCTTCAATAACAGCGTATATTATATAATTATGTGAGATGTCTTAGGTTTTGCATTAAGAAAAATCTGGTTCAGTTATAATTTTAGAAGGCGCATATGACAATGTTTCTCTGATCGTGGGACGTGTCCCACTGGCAGAATTTTACTTTCGGCTGTTTGGATTGTGAGTTCTCGATAATTATTCAGTCGCTAAAAATTCCTTTAAAAAATCTTTTCTGCATTCGAAGTACACACTTATGTTTTATTGATGTACCATTGTTATACGTGTATCTGCTAAAGAAATATATTTTTTATAGAATTATATTAATAAAAGAAATTATAACATTTTGTTTCAATTTGTAAGTTCATAAGAAATTCTATTAAAGATTAACATAATAATATTACGAATGTAATTGTAGAAATAATTTTTTTAAAATGAAGTTTAGTTTGTACTGTGGCGAGATTAGGATCAGGTTAAGGAATTCCGGCTAAATAAGTGTTGGGACACTAAATGCAAAAGCCTGAAAATTATTGAGACGTGAAATAAGTGTCTTTATATAAGCAACATACAGTATTTCTGTTTAATGAAACCTTCTCTTTCTAGTAGGTAAAAGTAACGTGTCTGTGTTTAATTAATTAGGCATATAAACATTTAGACGTATGGGAGATTGGAAAAATAGCTCCAACATTCTTGGCCTCGGCACTAGAAGGATGCCAGTGCTCAGCTTCACGCCTCGGTCGCTTCACGTATAGGGAAAGATCCCCATGGTACCCAATGAATGGGAGGTAGGATGGGGCACATAGTCGGTTATGTATGTATCATTGGGACCACCTTACCCGTCACCCTCACCGCCACCGCCGCCACCCTCAAGATCCTGGGGGTTGTGTGGATGAAGGAAAATCTCAACGGGCTCCCCACGCTTCACTACGCGGTAACCCCAGCCGTCAGACACGTAGAACGTGGCCCGCGGCGTACCGTTGGGGTCTATGTACCCATAGCAGCCGTACACTACGCCGTCAGGGCCCCGGCTTTCATGGTGGAACTGCCCGTCTGGGCCAACTTCGTAACCAAACTCGTAAGAACCTAAAAATTGTAGCAGACATGTTCGATTTCAATACAAGAAAAGAAAGGAAACTTAAATTTATTACTCATGGAGCTGAGCCCTTCTGGAGGAACAGCCAATTGTACAGCTACTCAAGCATATCCCAGCAGTTTATGGAACCCAAAGGTTCATCACCGTGTTAACAAGAGCACTCCACTGGTCCCTATCCTGAGCCAGATCAATATAATTCATATCATCCCATTTTATCTCTTTAAAATCCATTTTAATATTGTCCACCCACCTACTCCTTCCTCTTCCCAGTGGTCTCTTTCCGTCTGGCTTTCCCACCAATTTTACCTAAATAAACACCACTCCTTAAAGGCGTGTGAGATAGCAGAGATGTAATTCCACGCATTTTAAGCCTCGGAACTAGATGGAAGTGTACAGGAAATTCACGACTCGGACAAGAAAACCTCCGGTGTTATTTTCATGGATTTCTTATGGGCTCTAAAATCCATCCTATTGAAACTCTGACAGGTTAATAATTAGTCTATATGTAGTTCGTCCCATTATTGAGAGCTGTAGCATCCTAATGGACATCTGTAACACGTCACTTCAGTGAAATCATCTTTCCTCAAAAGCAGGAGTTTTGCTTTTTTCCCTCAAATTTACGAATTAATATCTTACTTGTGTTGAAATTCTGCTCCAGATACTGAGTCTTGTCTTCATTCTCTATGTTCACGATAACCTGCTTGTCGTCGCTAGGCGTGTGTCGTTGTCGCTTTGCTCGCGCGGCGCTTCCACACGACAGCGTCGCCGCTACCAGCGCCTGCAGAGAAACAAAAGCTTAAAGAAATCACTTCGGCAGGCTCTCGGGCCTCACACACCAGTATGGACCTACAGGGACTGCTATCATTTCAGTCCTGACACTTAACGTGATAGTGATCTGATCCTTATGTAATTATAAATTTATATTTTCTCAGAATTTAACGTTATTTCCTCCAAACTCAAGTTATATATCGTAATTTATTGTAGTAATAAAGGTAAAGCTATCGCTGTAACAGGCCGTGGAGGCCAATAGGGTTGTGAGACGTCGAGGTTTCCACATATTCTAGATAATCAGCTTATTGATGGCGGTAAGGTTCTCAGCCTTACCCGCCAGCCGGTCGCCGGCCGCCCTTTAATCTCAGGAAGATTTTTGGTACTAAATTCTGTTAGAGGCTAAGTCAAACCCAGGGCCATAGTGCGGCTGGAAGGATTAGGTTAATTGAAAAATATAGGGACCTCGTCGGGAATTGAACCCGCTACCTTTCGTCTTGTAACATAGAGCGTCAAGTAACTACGCTACTAGGCCGCGCCATAGCTCAAGCGCTTAGTCGCTGGCTTCCCACCTCGGCGGCCTGGGTTCGACCCCGGGTCTGGTCAAGTGGGATTTGTGGTGAAGAAAGTGGCGCTGGTGCAGGTTTTCTCCGAGTACTTCGGTTTCTCCTACCAATCTTCATTCCACCAAATTCTCCATCATCATAATCACCCGGGGCAGGTACAATAGACCAATCAGTGGCCGCCGTGCCGAGTGGACCCAGTTGGACTCCACCCCCCACTAAGCGAATTAAAAAAAGCTACGGTACTGCGTGCCACTGATTATGCTGAAAGATGGTGGTTATTGAAAATGCTCTCACATGCAGTGAATCTGAATACGTAGCGAAACACATTTGGAGCAGGAGCCTTCTGGCCACTCAGTGCAAAGGATCAATAATACTGTAGCGTGTTTTGGTGTGTCACGCTACGAATAAGTTCACGCCGTGGTTTGATATAGCGAGTTTATTCTGTTCGCTCGCATTACACACACTTTACAATCATTTGTACCTGCAGTGTTACAATCACTGCTCACAATATTCCGGCGATGCTGGACCCAGACGGATATTCCGAAGCTTCTTCTTCGAGGCCTGTTCCGAGACTGACTACTTCTCGTCGGAACTGGGCTTTTATAACCTTGGCCGCTGATAGGTAACGAACCCTCTGTTATAACAGTGGAAACGCTGCATTGTTGGCTCCGCGTTTCCTACGCAATAACCCATTGTTATAACCATGGAGACTCCTGTTAGATCTACAATGGAGCGATTGTTGTTTCCTCTGTATCGGTCTATTTTAGCGTTTCCATAGCAGTTACTCCTCTGGTTTGCCGACACGTTACAATACTTTTAACATATCCAAATGTAGACTCTTTAGGAGAGTATGGATCTAAGAGAAATTAATTAGTAGGAATGAAAGTGCATAATGAGGAATTCCATTTTTTTTCAAACACTAATATATTGACCAATGTAAGGAGAAGAAAACTTCTGCTTCTGGGATATAATGCAGTACAGCCTGGTGAAAAGCCGATCACAGTGGCCGCACGTTCTAAGGCACGTACTGTCTTCCTTCGCTCGGAAGCCGGGGTCGTGGTTTCGAATCCAATAGAAGGCGTGGATGTTTGGTATGTGTATGTGTTTATTCTGCGTTTGTGTTGTCCTGTGCTTGGGTAGAGGCCTTGCGACGAGTTGAACACTCGTCCAAGGAGTTCTTCAGTCTGTAAAATGATCATGAATCTGAGAGTCATTGGCCAGGGTCCAAGGGGGCTGTAGAGCCAGTGAAAAAAATAATCCGGTGAAAGTCAGGCAAGCATATGTTTGTTTTCTGCCTACTTCATGCAGGTTTCCTCTATGGTTCATTCTTTCGGCTATGAAAATTGTGGCAATATGATCTCTCGAAACGTACGTTGCCTTTCACCGGACCACACGCCGTCATATCCCAGAAATCATAAATGTGCAAACACTAAAGAAGTGTCCAAACCATGGAGGATGTGGTAGGTGAGATGTAGCATGCATGAGAAAAATGAGAAATATGTAAAGGTAAAAGGTAAAGCAGCCAGTCACGGTAGCGGAGCGGTCTAAGGCATGTACCAGCTTCGCTCGCTTGGAAACCGGGATCGTGGGTTCGAATCCCACTCAGGGCATGGATGTTTAGGTGGGTGCGTGCGTTTTTCTGTGTTTGTGTACAGCTGATCACCCGCCCAAGGAGTCCTACCGAATGTGTAAGATCTAGAAAAACCGAAGTGAACGGAGAAGTTCATGGAGGTAGGGCTAGGCCCACTGGGGCTGTAATGTCAAAAAAAAAGGTAAATTTGTTCCTGTACTTAAATAATTAAGCACTAAGAAATGAAGGCTTATGGAGGAGTGGATGTATAGAACCGCGTTTTCTTGATCTCAGTATTAGTATGAGGCGAGTGGTCAGCTTCACGTCCCGGCCGCTTTACTCCCTGCGTATACCCATTGTATAGGGGGTTGGGTGAATTCCAGAGTCGGTCTGGACGATTGGAGAAGTGAAAATTCTTGACCCTACTGGGACTCGAACTCCGACTGCTTGGTCGCCCAGCCCGTAGCCATCCGCTATACCGACTGCGCTATCCCGGCTCTGGTGAGGAATATGTACAGTATTTTAGTTGGACATCGTAAGGGGAACATATCACTTGTGAGGACTTGGCATTGTTTATGGAACGTTATTTAAATGAATCCTAAAGACAGAACATTTTGGAGATATCACCTAGTTTCAGTTCTGTCGGGCTAGGATTCAATAGCGGATTTTTATGGACACCGTAATGGTACTCAGGATTCCATTAAAATGTGATGAGTTGCTTTAACAGAAGAGCCACAGTCAGCATGTCAAAAAGAATGCTTGCTCGAAAGACATAGCCACTTAACACGTAAGATAAATGTGTTAATATGATAATTTTGAATCCTCTGCATGTTATATCGAGTAGGAAATAAATCAAGTGACATTTCTGTCTAGTAATATTAATGAGTTTGCTGTCAAGAGTAATATGTTCAAGATCTTGATGTTTAAAAGTGTCAACCAAACATTCCACTCAGAGAAACTGGTTTCCGAGCAGTTGATACATTGTTATTTCAGCGTAACATGCGAAGTCACTGAGCCAAGCGCATTTTCTATGTTACAAAGTGACCCTCGGAAGTTTTAATAGTGGCCAGTGCCACCTGTTCATTATCAAGCGTTCTTTACACAGTAAACAAGAACGGACTTGGAAGTTATGTCTGTACGTCTGCCGTTCTGTTAGCGCCCAAATATTTCGCCACACACTTAAATATTATTAAGGCAGATTCACGAAGTCACGTCTACATAAGGCAATAAAGAGATATTTATTTTGTAACAAAATCAAGTTCGTATATTTTAGTGAAATTCGTCACAAAACAATTTAAACAAATATTATTACGTAATGCTATTTACGAACCTTATCGATCCGTAATTTGTTACGTTGTGACGGCCTTGCATTGGGCTGATCTCCTGTCTAAGGAGTCCTACCAGTTGTCTATAAAATTAAGAATTTCAGAACAAATTATAAATGGCAACAGGCCAAAAAGCCCAGTTGTAACAACAGAAGACGAAGAAGAAGAAAGTATTAATTTTTATAAGACCATAAATAGAATTTTACACGTATCTTAAAAACCATGGTAGTGCAGTCGGTATAGCGACTGGCTACGGGCTGGACGACCGAGGGTTCGAATTTTGAGTCCAAGTAGGGTCAAGAATTTTCACTTCTCCAGGTCGGTTTGGGACACATCCAGCATCCTGTCTAATAGGTACTGAGGGGGCTCTTTCCCCGGGGGTAAAGCGACCTGGGCCTGAGCCTGAATACTCTCCTCAAAATAATGCCAAGGTAAAGAAAATGTGAATGTATACATCCACTACCCCATACGCCTTCATGGCGTACTGTTTAATTAGTTAAGCACAGGGACAAATTCACCTTTACCTTACCTTACCTTGCTTTCTTTTTGCTTTACGTACAAACCATGAGATCTTGTTGAATTTCGATATTGGGCACTTCAGTAATTTTGTTTACTATTCAGTTATTCAGTTATGCACCGCGACCAGTTTGATCTATTGTGCGTCCCCCTTTGAATTTCTACTGTCTCCATACCCTACCGGTACTGGTGCTTGCTGTCGTTCCCTTTCTGCCAGCGAGGTTTCGGCCTTCTACTGGCAATGGTATCTAATAGCTAGTCCCTTTCTGTCAGTGAGGTCGTCCCTCCTCTGGCAGTGGTACCTAAGCTCCCCCATCTACCGGAGGCATTGGAAACTACTTGGGCGGGAAATTGCCTAAATTTAGCTCAGAGGTCTCCTAGAGACATGAGGTTCTTTTACGTGCCGTAAATCTACGACACAGGACCCACGGCTTAAAGTCCCTCCCGGAGGACTTGTTCCCTGAATTTTTCCGCCCTTAAAAATTCCACGACCTCCGCCGGGTTTGAACCCGCGTACCTTGAATCATGAGGTGGGAACGTTACCCCTAGACTACGGAGGCCGCTAATTTTGTTTACTATATCATGGAATACCCCCCGTTGGTGTCTCCACCTTATCGTGGTGAAGGGGTTTGAGTATGCCAAGGACCCTGAGAGCTATACCAGCGGTAGCGTAGCTACTGGCAGGGCCTCCCTTGCTGGACAGGTCAAAGGGTAGGCATCAGACGAAGAGAGACACCAAAAACTGATGCCGGAAGCAGCGTCATCAGCAGCGACTTGAAGCACAGAGCAAATGATGCTCGAGATGGTTCAAGTTCGTATAGCAACAGGCGTGACCAGAGTGGTTTGAACGGCTGTTGTACTGCGATGTGGAAAGCAAATGGAAAAACTACCACATTATCACTTTTCCTGGATAGTCTCTTTCCAAAAACAGAAGATCGCATTAAGTGGAGAAACTGTTTTGGAAGAGGCTGTGGACCTGTCATCTGACAGATTACTGATGAATGAATGAATCATGGAATACTTCCTTCCAATT